GGTGGCTCTGTGATTTGCTTGATGGCGGGCTCCTTGTCTTCCTCCTCAGGCACCCGGAGGCCTGCCGGCCCTGGGCAGGTTCTCGGGAAATGTTGGCTCGGTGAATGTGCGAACTGCGGGGCGAACACAGGGCAGAGGCCGAGCGCGAGGTGTAGAGGGATCAGATCTTCAGTCTTGTTCCATAAGCTTCCCCTCCGTCCTTCTCCCACACCCAAAGGGTTTAGGGGTTCACATGTTAAAAAGGGGAAACTGGAGAATGTTGCAGTATTTTATTGTTCAGGGCACAGGAGCCACTGGGGAGGTGGCGGTGAGGCAAGTGCCCGCGGGGGAGGCTCGCTTGTTGCTGCGCAGCAAGGGTGAGACGGGAAGGAGGACGCTGTGAGCTTCGGTTGGTGCCTGCCGAACCCCTGACCCTGACCAGTGGCCGATTTCTGATACAGACTTACTTCTAGGGCATGGTCCTACCATGTCGTTGGCCTTGAACTCTCACCAGCCCCCAGGATTGAATAAATGAAGCTGAATGCTCTGATCAGCTTCTCCGCCCAGCGGTTCTTAGAGCAAATGCACACACTGTTTCCTTTTCTCCTTTGGTCCGAGTCTCCACCCGGATTGTGGGCAGCCCCGAGCTGCAGCCCCAGCCCCACGGAAGCTGCTGAAAGCCTGACTCAGCTTCTCAGACGGACAGCTGCAGCCCCCCAGCCTCTCCGCCCAAGCCTGTTAGTTACTAATCAACAAACCTGGGGCTTAGTTCACTGAGTCTCTCTTCCCCCTGGGATTTTTGGTCTTTGAACTCTCTCCAAAGCCTTCAGAAAGCTGTTCTGGTATTTTTATGTAATGATTCTGGTTGCACTTGGTGGGAGGTGTAGTCTGTTACAAACTAGGCCATTAGAGGTAGAAGTGCAAGTCCACTGGTGGTTTGTTTTTTTTTTCAGTTGCTCCTCAGGTGACAAAAGCCAGGATTGAGAGTTCCAGACCCCGGCCACTATTCTCAGTGAACAGAGGGACAGAGCCTTCCCCAGCCACCCAGTGTGTTAATATCAGAGCTGGGGCTGCAACCCAAGGCCCCCAAGTCCCGGTCAGTGTGCCTCTGGTGGCACCAGGCCAGTTCCCTCAGGGGTACCCCTTCTGCCTCCGTGTCCTTCCGCCCTTGCAAGCTGGCTGTTTCTTAGGCCCCTCCTGCCCGATCACCTTGCAACCCCCTCTCTGCTCCCAGTGCAGACAGGGCCAGACCACCTATTTGTCCCAGACATGCAGTCAGCGGTGGCTGTGCCCTAATGGGCCAGGGTGGCCTAATTACAGCCTCTGGCTTCCTGTGTAATGATGGCCTCCCCGGGACGCCAGGGTGCTCTGCTCCCGCCCCCGACTCCCCCGCTCTACCTCTGCTGCTCCCCTCGCCTCCTGTGCCTGAAACGCCACCCTGCTGCTCGGAGCAGCACTCAGTCCCCCTGTCCTCCGCCCTTCAGCTCTGCTGACACCAAGACCTCATTCCTGGCTACGTCAGGGCACTGTGTCCTGGAGAGCGTGTTGGTCAGCCTGCGTCCACATGCCCTCTGCCTGTGCTAACCACTGAGCTACGGTTGTTGACTTCCTCCTGGCCAGACCCAGGTCCTGCCCCTCTCCTCTCTCTGACCGCATGATTCATGGCTGGCCCGGGAGGGACAGGCGGAGGCAGGGCTCACCTGAATAGCATAGTCCTTTTGGCTACCCCTTCCCCTCCCTGAGGGAACCCTCTCGGTTCTCTGGGCAGCACCAGGGCAGGAGGGTGGGGTGGTGGGAGGGTGGGTGGTTAGGGGAAGGACCAGGAGCCCCAGCCACAGTGTGACGAGGAACACAGGCAGCAGGGTGGGGAGAAAGAGACAGAGCTTCTCAGGCCTGGGTTCGAATTCCTGTTCTGCCCCTTACTGTTGGTTGGTGATCTTGGGCACGTTGCCACTCTTTGCTCCACAGTTTCTCATCTGTAAAGTGGGGCTATGATCTCTGTGCAGAGTGCCAGGGGCATCGGAGAGACCGGTGGACAAACGTGCACTGCCCTCACCGCCCTGCCCCTCCTCGAGAGAAGGCAGGTCACGGACAGGTTGGAGAGCGAACCCGGGCGGAATAGGGCCAGGCGGCCAGGTGCAGCCCCACCCACCGGCCTGTGACGCAGGCGGCAAGGAAGGTCCCCCCTGCGACCCAGGCACCTGTCAATAGCCCCAGGTGAAGCTGCCCTACTTGCTGTGCTCCAGGCTGCTTCCAGGATCCCTGTCTGGGTTCTCAGAGATGGAGTCAGCAGTAGCAGCTGTGGCGTGGGTATGGAGAGGGAAGTCATCTCCTCCTCATCCTCCTCCTTCCACCACACTGGGGGCTGGGGCCCCCGGGACAATGAGGTAGAGTTGTGACCCAGGCTTCCACACACACCTTTACCCAGGGCACGTGGGTGCCTGGCCTTCCCCATCCAGAGAAGATACGAGGCTTCTCTAGAAGGGGGAGCCAAGGGGCCTGCCTGGTCGGGAGGAGTGAGAGAGAGGACATAAAACCCTTAGAAGCCCTGTGTCTGGCTTCCATGCCTTTCAGGGGCCAGGGAGAAGAGGCTGTGGGCTGAACTCGGTGGCGTGGAAAGGAACCAGTGAGAGTGGGGGCAGGGGGGGCTCCAGTTGGACCGGGCGCCGGGCAGGGCGTGCTCGTGGGACTGAAACTCCTCGGGCTCTTCCCGGGTCGAGGCTAGAGATGGCGGTTGTGGACCATTCATCCAGAGGACGAGGGCAGAGTCCACAGAAGTGGTTGTAAGGAGAGAGAGTGAAGAACCAGGGAGCTGGGGGGCGAGCCCCGGGAGCCAGTTCCAAGAGCGGGCAGAGCGTGAGCCTAGAGGAGCGGCGGACGAGCAGGGATGGCCATGGAGCCACAGGGCCCGAGGAACTGGTGCGACTCCCTTTTATAGGTGCGGGCGTGAGCTCAGAATGTCCCTCCATGGCCTACTGACTCGTCAGCCCACACAGCCTCCAGGGCTGCATCCGCTCCGAACGCTCTGCTCGCCCAGCCTCAGCTGGCCCAGGCGCCAAGAGCAGAGTTGGGGTGAAGACAGGGCGGTGGCTTTGCCAGTTCCCAGACCGTCCTGCCAGGCTGGGGTGGGAGGGCAGTCTCTGCTCAAGCATCGCCTGTGCCCTGTTCTGTGTTGTTCTGGCTGCCGCGTTGGGGTGGGGGTGGGGCTTGCTCTGCACCAGAGGGCAGGTCCCGCCTTGAGCCGCTCCCTGGCCAGGGCAATGCCTCCAGCCAGCCTGATGCTGGCAGGCCATGTGAGCCGAGCCCACGGAGGGTCACATCCCTGCTGTGCGTGGGAGGCGGGCATTGCAGGCGGTGCAGGGAACGGCTGGAGGGTTTTTGTTGGCCCTGGTGGGCCTGCCTCCCTTTAGGTTCTGGGTCCCAGCTTACATGACAATAGAGGACAGTACTCACGGACACTTTGTCCCACTCCGACACACTCTGGGAAGGAGACAAGAATGGACTGGCCGGTGCGGGGAGCAAGGGGGAGGGTGGTCAGCGGTGGCGGCAGCAGCCAGGGCAGGAGCCCTGACACGGGGCTGCACCACAGCCGGTGGGAGGGCTCCCAGCCCCTGGCATACAGGATCCCTTCTCTCCAAGAGGCCACCTGGGTTCTGGCTTCCACTCGGGGACCTCTGGGGATATCACTTCACCTCTCTGGGCTTTGGTTGCCTCCTCTGTGAAATAAAGGAATTGGACTGGCTCCTGCCCAGCTCAAGAACTCTAGCACTCTCTTTGCCAAGGGGATGATGTAACAGCGGAGTTCTTAAAGAGGGCTGACTGTGGGCACCGGACTGTCTATTACAGGCCAGCCCTGGGGTGCACAGCTCCCCCCACTTTTATGCCGAGGCTGCTGAAGAAAGCCAGGCCGAGCCCTGGCCTCCCTCATGAGGCCGAAGCTGCTCTCCACTCTGCCGCCCTCGCTAGGCCAGGAGCCCTCTCCCTCTGCCCCGAGCACTCTGACCTGCCTTGGGCAGAGGGGTGGCTACCCTCTGCTTTGTGCCCTCGGGGTCAGCACGGCTCTGAGAGATGGTAACTTGCAGGCCTATGCAGCTAGAAGGATATACGGTCCTCTGAGCCCTGGCTTGGGTGCTGGACCGGGCTCTTTAAGGAAGGGCCATGTCTTCATCTTGGCGTCTCCCCCAGGCCCCAGGCCAGAGCTGGGTGGGAGCAAGCGTTCACAGCTGTCTGGTGAATCATCCTCTTCAAGCATATACTGAGCTTCCCCTGCCGTGTGCCAGCCGCCCGGCCCAGATGGAGGATGTAAGCCAAGGCCCTCGCTCTTTCTGGAGCTCCACTGTGTGTCAGGATCCACCAGATAGGCCCCAAGGGTCTGCTTTCTCTGTCCCGCAACTTCTCTTTCTACATGCCAGCTAAAATATTCAGAAAGCAGTAGCCCCAAGAGCTCTAAGAAGAGCCTGGAGTAGTCAGGGTGTGCTTCCTGGAGGAGCTGTCCTTTTTCTGGGCAGTTATTCTGCCCACTCACACTGGGAGGCAGCTGCTTCTCATGCGCCCTTACTGGCCTTGTCCTCCATAACACCTGACTTCATTCCTGGTCCCAGACCCTAACAGGTCATACTCAAAGCCTAGCGTTGGGATTGGGGTGTAGGGTGTGGCAGGGGTGAGTGCAGCCAACGAGGGCCACGAGGAGGTGTAGGAGGCCAGGCCAGCCTCTGGAGCAGGACAGCTGTCAGTCCCCAACTTGAGTGCACGTGGAGAGCTATGGACAGTCGCCGGAGTAGGACAGTGGGTGCCCGCTGTGCCCCAGGCCTCCTGCCGGGCACTCGCATGCGTCATCTCAGAATCCGTGAGTATTCTCACCCCTTCTGCACAGACGGTAGGGCCAGCTCAGAGAGGTCAGGTCGTAGGCCTCACATCCGCGGAGCCCGCGGGTGCCGCAGAGCCCCGTACGTACTTCCTGAAAAAACCTCGGAGCCCTGCACCTCCTGGACTGACCTCTCTCCTCTTCTCTCTAACCCTAGGTGCCCCTGGCCCTCCAGGACCAAGAGGACTCAAGGGAGATGTGGGCGTGAAAGGGCCTGTTGGTGGCCGAGGACCAAAAGGAGACCCTGGCAGCCTGGGCCCCCCGGGTCCCCAGGGCCCTCAGGGGCAGCCCGGGGAAACAGGACCCGTGGGGGAGAGGGGGCCGGTCGGCCTTCGAGGTTTCCCAGGCCTCAAAGGCTCAAAGGGCAGTTTTGGAACTGGAGGCCCGAGAGGACAGCCAGGCCCCAAAGGGGATGTGGGACCCCCAGGGCCAGAGGGGCCCCCAGGGTCTCCAGGGCCAGAGGGGCCTCAGGGAAAACCAGGGATTGCTGGGAAGACAGGTTCACCAGGCCAGCGGGGGCCCACGGGACCTAAGGGTGAGCCAGGGATCCAGGGTCCCCCTGGCCTTCCTGGGCCCCCAGGACCACCAGGAAGCCAGATCCGCTACTGAGGAGGGTCCCCGGTCCCAGACACCGCCACACAGAATGCCAGGAAGGGGGTCAGGGCAGAGCGAGCCCTCAGAAAGCCTTACGTGCAGGCAACTGTGCTCCTTTGATCCCGAAGGGGGTGGCCCAGGCCTGCCCCTGCGCCTCTGGGCTCCCTAGTGGTGACTGCACCGTGGAAAACAGCCTCCCCCCACACACACATGTGTATGCACACACACGCAGTTCCCTGCTGGCCAGGGGGGCCGGCTGGGCGTCCCTGGCTGGGCAGGAGGAAAGGGCGGAAGGCCTCAGGCCTCCGTCTCCTGTGACTGAGCCGGCCAGGGAGGCGGCTACCTCGGGAGGGGGTCTGGAATCTGTCCCTGAGTTGGTGACCAACGTCAGCCCTTCCAGCATCTTCACACCCATCCTGGCCAGTAGTTTCCTGGGGCTCCCCGTGGTTGAAGAGACCCAGGGAAACCTTTACGGGGGATTATGGTGCCAACCCTAGGGCCAAGGTGCACTTGGCAGCCCGCAGACCCTCCCCCTAACTGTGGGAGTGGAGTCCTGGAAGCCACCCTGTCTCACAGAGGACAGAGGAGTCCACCTCGGCTGACACTCTCGGGCCCTGCGCACTGTGCCCCCAGGAGTCCAGCAGTTTCCGCCACATCTACAGAAAAGTCCTTGCCCCTCCTTGCAAGGAATTCCAGAAGAAATCTAAACAGGAGTTTCATCCGTGGAGGGACACTCACCGGGCCCGGGAGCATCCGTCAGTGGCGCCCAGCCCGTGGAAGGTGGGGGAGGGGTGGCGAAGGCTGTGGTCACTGGGCTGCCTAGAAAACTGTCCCCTTTGCTGTCTGTTCCTGGGGTGGGCCCTTCTGTGGTGGCTGGGGGAGGACTGACCCCCGATAACAGGACCAGCTCTCCTTCTGCCCAGTGACCTCGCCATGCCCCCGCCCTGCCCCCGTAACCCAGAATGCCCCAGGCCCTCGCTATGAGAAGCGCACCTGAACGAGGAGGGACTGGCCTGAACGTCCACAGGAGGTGCGTTTGGACGTCACCCCTCGCTCACCTCTGACTCGCTGTACGCCCGGCAGAAAGGAGCACAGGGCGGTCCCCCACAGGCCCAACTCGCTGCGAAGCGGCCCTGCCTTTGTGTCCCAGCAGAGCCCGACCTCCCCTGGCGTGGGGCGTGGAGCTGTCCCCTCCCCAGCCTGACTCAGAGACTAGTCCCCTCCCCACTGGTAAGATACGTGCAACTGGTTTGCACGCCCACCCGTCCCACTTGTCATTTAATTCTCCTACTTATGATATCGGCAACATAGCGTTCCTGACTCAGTAAAGAGTTGTTTCCAAGAGAGGGGTGTCTTCTGGTCCTTTCTGCTCGACTGGGAGCGTGGTGCCTTTGAGGGCTCTGCCTCACATGGCCTTTGAATACACGTGGAACCCGTGGGCCAGAGGTGCCCTGCGTGTTCAGTCCCATGGTGGCGTCTGGGGCTGAACCCCTGCCCCCTCCTCCAGAAACACTGAGCTCTGCGGGGAGTTCACAGTGGTCCTGTTGGGACCAGGGCCCAGGGGTATCTGAGGGAGTTACCCATGACGAGCAGGAACCCGGTGGGGAACGAGGTGAGCTTTATGAATCAGGAAACAGGTAACAAGAGACTGAAGTCCTGGCTGGCCTGGCTCAGTTGACTGGGTGTCGTCTGGCAAAGTGAAAGGTCACTGGTTCGGCTCCCAGTCAAGGCACGTGCCTGGGCTTCGGGTCTGGTTGGGGTGCGTACAAGAGGCAACAGGGAATTTTATACATATAAAGGGGTTCTTATACAGAGATTGCCCGAGGTGACTCAGAAGCCACGTCTGGCAGGGCCACCGCTGGGCCTGGCGAGTCGGAGCAGGAAAAGCCCAAGCAGGAGGGTGAGGAACACCCTAGAATCAAAATGCAGAAGAGTTAGATCTAGAATCTGCTTCCAGGGGAGTGAGGGCCAGAATGAGAGGAAAAGCCGTAAGGATCAAAAACTGAGGCAATTCAAGAACACGAAACAAAGACATTAGAGGACACCATGGGTCCTGGACAGTTGCCACCAACATATCCTTGGCCGTGTGGTTCAAGGATCAGCTTGATTCAAAGGAACAGGGTGGGGGCAGGCACCCTGAGCGCACTGATGCGGTGGCCCCTGCCCCAAGGTCCAGGCCTCTGGTTCCCTGGTCACAGAAGTCCCCTCAAGCAAGGGACTGGGGGGTGGGCCTCGTGATCAGGACACAACAGCTGAAGTCAGGGGCATGGAAACTGAAGCACAGCTAAGCCTCGGGGTTACTGGATGCGCCAGTGTCTCAAGCTTCTGTCTTTACTTCGGAGAACGGAGCAGTCTCTCTTCTCTCTTCTCTTCGTGGCCTTGCTCTCTCTTCCTTGCCACTCTGGTCTCCTTTCTCTTAACCAGCACTTTCTGTCTGCACGAGGCGCAGCATAGCAGGGCTGCTGCTCACCACCAGAGACTCAGCCCGCTTTCTGCTTCCCGACCCGAGGAGAGCGACCAGATGGCTAACCTCTCGGGTTGGGGCTCCACCCCTGACCCGATGGGCTGTGGCCACAGAGGGAGAGGAGGAGACAGAGGAAGAGGGGCCATGTGGGAAAATTAGAGGCACCAGAGCAAGAGTGAACATGAGCAAAGTTGCACATGAAACCTGCAATTGGCAATATGGGACCAGGAGAGTAACATCAACCACCATAACAGACACCAATGGGAGAGTGACTGTGCCACAGAATACCATTTTAGGCACTGTACGTATATATATTAACTCATTAAACCCTCACCACAGTGTATAATGTAGCTGGTACATCTATATAGCTACATATCTCCATATATCCATGTCTGTCTGTCTGTCTATCTATCTCTACATATACTATTATCATCCCCACTTTGCCAATAGGGAAACTGAGGCTTGGAAAGATTATTTAACTTCCCACCATCACACACTGACATTTGTAGACATAGCTCTACTAACACTCTGCCTTGTGTGAGTTGACCTCTGAGCGTTTCTGTTCGTCCCCGGTGAAGTGGGAATTCTTGTTGAACCTACCCCACGAGGTTGCTGCAGGGGAAGTAAGACGATTCTTTTGTCCAGCTGTCCAGGGTGTTAGTCAGCGTGGGCAGCCATAAGACACCACAGGCTGTGTGGCCCAAACAACAAAAATTCACTTTCTCAGAGGCTGGTGGTCCAAGGCTGGGGTCCCAGCTCTTCCTGGCCTGCAGATGGCTGCCTTCTTGCCCTCTGCTCACCTGGCTGAGGGAGACAGTTGAGGGAAAAGTGGGGGGAAGAGAGAGAGAGCGGTCCTGGCTGGTGGCTCTGTTGGTTGGAGTGTCGTCTGTGCATCAAAAGGTGATGGGTTTGATTCCTGATTAGGGCACTTACTTAGGTCAGGGTCCTATCCCAGCAGGAGTGCATATGAAAGGCAACTGATCAGTGTTTCTCTCTCTCTAAAAAAAAGATAAATGTATAAAAATGTTTTCTTCAATTTAAAAAAAAAGAGCTTTTCTCCCTCTTTTTAGAAGGTCACAGTCCTATTGGATGACCCTAATGACCTCATTTAACCTTTATTACCTCCTGAGACCCTGTTCCCAGATAGTCACACTGAGGATTAGAGCTTCCACATGTGGATTTGTCCCCAGTACCCGGCAGGGGTTGCCCTTCCATGAGCCTCAGGCGTTGTCACAGTGGTCCTTGTCCCCCAGATCCAGAGTTGCATGAACTGCGGTGCTGCCAGTTTCCTCTGCAGATGAGTGGCCAGAACTGGGGCCCTGCACGTTCCCACTCCCACATTCCCTTAGTGGTCTGAGCTAGGACCAAGCTGGAGAACCACCAGGCTCCAATGCTTGACTTTGCAGGCGACAAGCCAAAGGCTGAGAGCAGCTGAGGGGTTTACCACCCACCCGGGACCGGAGCTCGGGTCCCTCGACTCCTCGTCAATGCGGTCTCTCCCGTCCCAGGTTTCGCTGCTGTTCTAGTTCTCGGGCCACTTCGCGGTCGGGGAGGACCACTGAACAGCTCCTGCCGTGCGTTCCTCCAGAAGGACCCCCACCCCAGTCTCTCTGCCCCACCTCTTCAAATGACCCCTGGAACTGACGTGGTCCTTCAGAGTGCCTGGGCCTCGTGGGCACTGCTGACCATGGGGGTTGGCGGGGCAGGCAGCCAGAACCGCAGAGCTTCTAGCAAACACTCTGAGTCAGTATGTTGCCCTGGGCATGAACTTGGTGAAACGGGTCTGACTAATCTGAGTGAGGAGACTGGTGGGCTCCTCAGTGGAGTCCCTCTGTGGACACAGAGCTGGGGCAGGCCGTGCTTCCTCTGCGCTGACCCTTCGTCCATCGTGGGGCCCTGGGCCAGTGCTGCCCTGTTCTGACCTCGGGTTTCTTTATCAGGAAACAGAGAGTGGCCTGGTCTTGACTCCTTCTGGGAATCCCCATGGAATGTGCTGGATTCCTCTGCTTGGCAGTTCTAACCAAGTGCTCTTCCTCCTGCCCAGCTTGGTGACTTTCCTGGAACTTGCCAAGGCCAAGGCGATACAGCCTGGCCCCATACCAAGGGGTGATGGCTCAAAGCATTTAGTCACTGATTAAAATCAGGGCCTTCACCCTGATTTTAATTTGGGTGTTTGAATCCCAGCCAGATCCACGAAGCCTTGAATGAGCTCCTGGGACTCCTTCTAAGGGGAACAAGAGGGCTTCTTGAGGCCACAGGCCTCGGGTACATTTGTGGACACCCCTTAAAACCTCAGGCCTCCCCATCCTTCTTCTGCAACAGCCTTACCGCCCCCTTCCTCTAGCCACCCTTCCCTGGCAGGGGCTGAGCTGGCGACGTCTGCCGCGCCAGCCCTGGTCACACCTGTCAAAACAGAGCCAGGCGAGCGGAGAGCGCAGGGCTGACAAACAAGGTCGGACCGCGAGTCCTTTCCAGCAGGGTGGGGCTTGGCTGGGCCAACAAGGGACACACACATCGGGCGCTCACTCAGCGGTCCCCGGGGGCTGCTGGACTCGCAGAGGCACAAGTCCTTTGTTTTCCTTGCTTTCACCTGTCCAGTCCTTTTGTTTTCTTTTCAACACTTCAAACTGCAAGGCTCCGTGTCTGATGTGGTAGGAGGCCTGCAGAACCTGGGGTTGTGTTACTCTCAGTGGGAATAACCGCCTAAGAGCCCATAAAAATGCAGGCGACGGGCCTCCACCCTGGACCCACTGCTTCGGAATCGCAGAGAAGGGTGGAGCCGGGGAGGATTCCCCAAGGAATTCCTGTGTCTCATATAAAATTTGAGAACCACAGGTGTAAGAGATACAGAAAGGAAAATATTATTTTTGGGTGTATACTGTCTCATTTGATCCTTACAAACTCAGTGTATTTTCTTTTTATAGATTGAACAATAAGGCTCAGGAAAGTAAAGTGATTCATTGAAGGTCACATAGCTGTTACGTGGACTTGAACCCAGGGTTTAGGGAAGCCAGCTGCCCTGAACTACTTCTTACAGAATGGCTGGGACTGGGAATTGAGGGAGCCTGTGTTTTATACCTGAGAAAGCTGAGAACCGCACAAATGGACTTGCTCGAGGTCCCAGAGTACGCTGGTGACACAGCAGTAACCAGGCCCCTCACCTCAGAGTGCCCCCCATCCTGGCTGCCCTGTCACTAAAGGTAACCAGGGATCACAGAGAGAGTAGCGCAGAGTTAGACACAGAAGCATGCTTTCCACCGTGATGATAGCCTGAGGCCAGGTGGAGGAGAAGGGAAGCCAGGTGCAGCCCTCAGCCGGGCCGCTCACCTCCCTGGGCCTTTCCCTTGAACCCAGGTGCCCCTGGGTGCTTGGTTTCCCTTAAACCAAACAAACTGCTGCCCATTTAAATGTCTTTGCGTTGGGTTTCATCCGTTCGAGGCCACGCTGTGTTTTCACACAATGAGATCTGACACAAAGTCAGACAAAAGGCTTGGAATGACACACGAAGCACAGGATTTGAAAATGAATGAACGTTTACTATCTTTAATGATAATATCACCCTAAGTGCAATTATGCCCTCAGACATTAGCCAACAATAAACATACGGAAAATAACTTATATGTGAATAAATGTGTTTATGTTAGAAGATTAAAAAATGAACACAATTTTTTTACTAATGGGGGCGTGATAAAAATATTTGAACACCACTGTCCTAAGCCAACTCCATTGCTTCAGGCGTTCTCAATCAGATAAGGCGGAACTTCATATGGAAAGGAAGAAAGAATCTTCACATGACGGTTTTACCCAGTTGGTAATCTGATGGTTCCTTCTTCTTCTGAACTCCCAGAACCTACAAATGCCCCAGATGTGTGACCTCCCC